ACTTTCAGATATATCCAGTTGTCTTCCTTTTTCTATTTGCTTATTAAGTTCACTATTACTTCTTTTTTACACACTTCAAAAAAATATATTTAAACATTTCAGAAATATATTGAGATAGTATAACTTTTCTTATTGACACCATGCATACTCTAACTATTTTCAATCATACTGATCGCACTGGATCTGGCCCAATGCTCGCCCACTACAACGGCGTCGAGTCTGATGAATACTTAAGTGACTCTAGCAGTTGTACTGATAATGGATCTAACTTAGGGTCAGATAATTATAATAATTACGAGTCTAATTATGAGTCAGATAATGAAGAAGCTACCTGCGTCCCAATCACCATTATAAAGCTTCCAAATATACAAGAGCGAAATGTTAATGTAATATATACTTTAAGGAAGGAAAAGTTTAATGATAAATTTTCTTCAAAAGATTTGGTAAGTGCTATTCGGGAAATTTTCTCATCACCGCTTAGAGATATGTTAGATAATAAAGGCTCATTAGAATATCTCCCAATCTATTCATTCCTTTTTTCGAATGAAAAAAGCTCTAGCCTATTTAACGCTTTTGACCGAAATGAAGTGGAAGATAAATTGGTTATTAAAATTGATCAAGTTGATCGAGCCCCAAAGTTTTCCATTGCAGATGACATTTCAGTAGTATATGGTTTACCCAGAATTCACAAATGTATTAATGGCCAAAAGCCTTTAAGAGCTGTGATTGATATAGATGCATCAAAAAAAGATATGGAAACAGCTAATGTTAAGGGACAGGAAGTATTTATTCGAATCTGTTGCTCTTTCATAAGAGGTTTATATCAAATTCTTGACTGTGGTTGGAAAGATATTCTCAAAGGGTTAGTAATTGCTACGTCTTCATATCCTAGTAAATGCAGTTATCATATTTTATATGCACCAATTCTACTTATTGATCATCATGAGCTCAAAGCATTCACTGAATTAGTATATACCATAACAGGTGAAAAATATGGTAAGTTTATTGATCAGAAATTATCTGGTCAAAATTTTAACCTTCGCTTAATTGGTTCAGCAAAAAAAGGTCGCGTAAAACGCATTCTTCAATTCTCTTTAGATAATGGGTGGAACGAGCTTGATCATACTAGAGTTCAACCACCTATTAGTTTGTGTCTTGAAGTAAGACCCTGATTACTTAGTATAGAAAAAAATAATAATCCACTAAGAATAATCGTGGGTCAGGATGTATTGCAAAAATACGCGAATCTTATTTTGCAAAAGCATTCTATCTATCTTAAGGATTGGACTATCGAAGAAAAGAAAGAGACGAAAGAAAACTTCGTATATTTTAACTGGAAAGGTCCACTAGAATGCCCACTATGTAAACGTATACATGACAAAGATCAGCAGTGGTTTGGTCATATATATGCCAGCAGTTGAACATTCATTGTAAAATGCTTCCGGCAAGGTAGTGATGAACCTGAGAAAGTTTTTGAATGTGACCCATCTATCACAGAAAAAATTAGACAAGAAAATAAAAAATCATTTTCATCGCCTAGCATTCACAAGATAAAAGGCCCAGGTTTCCCAAGAGCTTTCGTAAAATTGCCATCCTGAATTAAGTATAACGAAGCTCTTACAGCGACAGAAACATATGAGGAGATATATGTGAGACCACTACCTGACGAAGGGGATATTTATGTAGGCTCATCCTGGGAAACTGGAAAAACATATATTCTCAAACATCTTACTATATCCGATAATGTGAATTTGCTAGTATTATCCACACGATACTCTTACTCGAATGCTGTTACTACTAGACTCAATCTCAAATCATATTGTGATATTAATGGAAATATAAATCTATCTGATCACAAGAGGGTAGTATGCCAGATAGAAAGCTTACATCGTATTACCAATAATTGTAAATGTAATAAAAAATGTAA